GAAACACTGATAATTTTAGAGGTTTCTAATGTGATGTCGTAAATAAACACATTTTTTGCGCTTACATTGCAAACGCTGGCTGAACCCTACGAGATAGATCAAAATAATGTACTACAATATTGTACACCTTAAAAAGGTCTACAAAAAAGTCCCCGATGGTATATGTCTATCTCTTAGGGATAACCCACAATAACCATTTTTAATCCGTTACTTTCTATGAGAAATAATGACTTATTTACGAAGCGATTAGTTTTAAATACATTGTACATTAAATGTAGATCAATATGGCCCTTTACAGCATGTAATTTAAATGAATATTTTCGAAGATATTACAGATTTAAAATGCAGGGACATAGCGGTTGCGGCGGTACCGGCCGGTGGGCCGGTTTGTATTGTCTAATGACAAAAAAGCTCTGGATGTTGTAAATAAAGACATTCAGTAGTATATTTAGTATCAGCATTGCAACCCGTGAGAAGCTGGGCTGGGTCGCTAGTTTCTATTAAAATTTAAGATTAAAGCATAACAAATAAGTTATTTTCAAAATCAAGCATGTATATAATTATTACCTAATTGTTTCTTACGTAAAAGAAGACAAGTGTTAGTTAAGAGATTTAAAAGAAAGAAGACAGTGTGGAGATAGAGACGTAAAAAAAGGATATCCCATAATCAGAGAATAATTAGAGAACTTAAACATTAAAATATTTAAGGAATAGTAAGGCAGTAGGTATGAAAAGTGGACGATGAAGCAGAATGTCATGGATAGGAAAAGTTAGAATTGGGGAAGAGTATTAGGAGAACAGATGAGGGCGTTAAGTACGGAAATTAACAAGAAATAGGAGAGATAAGATGGTGGAACACCTTATCAGATATGAAGGGGTAGGTAGAGACAGGTTTTAGAAGTACAAACAGGAGTTAAGAGGGGTAGATTGGATTTAGTAGACTAGATTACTGTTCGCAAACAGAAAAAAGCTGGATTTTCGAATTCTAACCGTGTCTTATTGATGAACTCCCCATGATGAATCATGGTGGTGTCAAAAGTGTCCAACGTTTCGTCTCCTATCACAAGGGACATCTTCAGGAAGTTTACGTTGTCAATGTAGGATCTCTAACACTGGTGCAATAAGCAAACGCTCGTGATACTCTCATAAACTTTGAGAAAACAAAATTTACAAAATTCTGTTTACCAAGCCAAATATTAGAAATGTTAATTGGGTACATGTACTCGGTCAAATAATGTTTACTTACGCCTGTAAATTTGATTAAAGCGGTAATTTATATGCAGATGGAAACAATTTGATTCATTTTGTCAACATAAAAAACAAAGCTATTCAAAATTAATGTCGGTAATTGTATAAAAGATTTTCTACAAATTCTTTTAATCTTCCAAGTGTTGGAATAATAAGACTGTCGTCAATGTTCCTGATAAATAAAGTACCTGAAATTTAATTAAATTAATTCTTTAGATATTGGCCTATTTCAAACTTCCCTTTGTCAACACTCTTACAAAGCGTCTCCATTTAATTGTAGAAATAAGCCATTTCATTATTTCGTAAAGCCTTTTATGCTTCGACTACAAAAAAAATTAAAAGAAACCGAATTAAAAACTGTCCGTTTTTGCGGGTTTAATAACGATAATTTGAATGAAAATGGGTCATTTAATTAATGCAATCGTGTTAATTTTCAGCAGCGGAAACAGTTATGTACCATTCTCTTTAGCATTTCAGCTCAACTTGAATGCTAGAAACCGAGCCATGGAACTGTGGTCTGCAAGCTAATTTCAAACTTGCTGTACTAACCAAATGTAACTATTTAATTTATTAGTTACGAATTAGTTAAATTGTTCCACAGGGTTTCTAAAACGTTGCAACTTTCCATCTGAAAGGTGTGACATTTGCATTGTTATTTTCAGGACTGCTGAGTTTGAGTTTTGTGGCATTCTCGATTGAGATGTATGTAAATTCACAAAGTTCCTCGCTGTAAATATTCGTTAAATGGGTAATCCCCCCTTATCCAGACAAGTTCGAATCATGATTTTCTTTTAGTTGTTCTCGGAATTTTTAGTTGTTAAGTCAACTTTGCTAATTTTCCTTTCCTTGAAATCCTTACTCAGACTATTAAGAACATTTAAACAAAAATTGTCGTTGAAAAAAATGCAATTCTTTTGATAGTACTTATTTAAGCTTTTATCGTCTTGTCAAATAATTAATTTCATTAATATTTAACCTCTATCAAGCATTCTTTGAAGTGTATAGGTACATCAAACCTCCTGGAACTTTTGACATTTTTTATAACGTGAAACAAGTCTAAATTCGAATTTGAATTAAACTCCCAGCGGGATGTGAAGTCAACTGAGTGACGGCATTATCTCTGCTCTTGACATTTTATATATATACCTATGCATACAGGAATCATTGTATAATAAAATCAGAATAGATTGTTGAAAGATCGGATTTTAACCACATATTTTTCAACAAAATAAAATATAAAGAACACTACATACATTTGGTTTACGTGTCTGCAACATTGTCAAGATATAAATAGATGTACACAAATTCTGAAACAAACCAAGTGTTTCTTCTTATGCTAGATTCAACATTTAGTCAAAGCTCAGGAATAATATACACGTATATACACTGGCGACATGTTGAGAATTTCTTATTAAGGTCAAAGGGCGGCTTTATCTTTTGAAAATCATGACGTGGAGTATAGGCAAATTACAAATGCCTTCAGACATCTATTCACATAAATAATAAAGTAATATAAGTCTAAAATTGTCAAATGTGTATGTCTAAAGTGCGGCACTGCACAGGTGCGAAACGTGGATGGTGGGCGCGGCAGAAAAGAAAAGGTTAGAAGTTTTCGAAATGTGGTGTTACCAGCGAATGAAATCATCGATAGAGAAGGTTAGAAATAGAGGTGTTAGAAAAGTAGGAGAACAGATGATTTTATTGAGATCAATAAGAAATAGGTTAGTAGGACACCTTCTCAGGCATGAAGTTCTAGTCAGAAACGTATTAAAGGCAGAAACAGGAGTTAGGAGGGGTAAAGGTTCACAAATAGTTAAGGATGTGGAGAGATGTTCTACTTTTAAGGAAAAGCGTTGGATTAACTCAGGATAGGAAAAAGTGGATTTGCATGTCCAACCATTCTTAGAACTGACGACTTTATGATGATAAATCTACTTGCTGAAACGAATCCCGGCGTAGCTCACCTCAACGTGATAGGCACGTTACCATAATCGAACAAAATAATTCGAAGTGGTCTGTATTCTGTCGAAACCGCCAGACGCGGATCGCGACCTCGATCCCTTTGGATCTCATCAGCGCGTCGCAGGCAGCTCCGACAGAACACAGACCAACCTTTACCTGCTGTCCCAACAGCGCGCTTTAGAAAATACTACAAATGGCGTGATGAAGGCCATCTGTAGAACGATGCTACACTTTTTTAAATTGACCTTGTTGAAGCGTATGTGGTCCTCAAGTGTAGCATCGTACTACAGATGGCGCTCACCACGCCATTTGTAGTATTTTCTAAAGCGCGCTGTTGGGACAGCAGGTAAAGGTTGGTCTGTGTTCTGTCGGAGCTGCTTGCGACGCGCTGATGAGATCCAAAGGGATTGAGGTGGCGATCCGCGTCTGGCGGTTTCGACAGAATACAGGCCACTTCGAATTATTTTGTTATGATAAATCTAATAAAAGTAGATACAGCTTTTGCGGAGTTTTACATTTTGTTCTAAAGATTTTATTAGTATTTGGAGAAGCTGGTAATATTTTCAGATAGACCTTTCGTTCGTGTGACATAAAAAGAGCAGGTCGCCGGTGATAGTTATTGAGAGCGGTTTTCCAGCGGAAGCAGCGACGATTTAGAGTTTTCTCTCTCCCTTCCTGTTCTAAAGGAAACGACACAATATTCAGAAATAGTTTAAGAAAACTACCTCATGTACCGAATGGACCGGATTCGGTCTTCGTTCCGCTTTTAGTTCCACGCCCTTCTGGGAAACCGTACCTAAATTGCGACTCAGAGAGTTAGAGTTCTACATTATACCTATAAGCCTCAATTACATTTTGCCGAATATCATTTTTCTTTTTTTGTTTTCTAATTTCAGGGCCCGCCTTCACAATCTTGACGTTGCTCTACAGTTTAAACAGCTGCGTCAACCCCTGGATTTATTTAGCGTTTAACAGCGAACTTCCGAAAGTGCTCATCAAGCATTACTTAGCCAAGACAAAGAAGTACAGAACGGCGGGTAAGGATGCTTTACAATATTACTTTTTGAATGGTAGATAATTGTGTTAATGAATGACCTGGTTAAACTGCATGTTACAGTTAGGTATGTATATTTAACTAATCAATATAATTTCAAGTTGCTCAAATTAAGAAAAACCAAATCAAAAAAACTTTTGGTATTCGTCCTTATTGACTTTATGTTTGGATAAGAAATACATTTCAAAAAGTTCGTAGGATATATTGAACCAAGTATATACATATACATATATATATCTAACCGTAATCTTACTTGTGCTATTTATTTTGACATTGCTTCTGCACTAATATATGCATGAATGTATAACTATCTTAGTCTCAAATACTACAAACTGCAAGGTATCAGGTAGAATTGGTCTGTATTCTATCGGAACTATCTATGACGTGCTAATGAGGCCCAATAAGATCGACGTTTGATAGTTTCGTAAGAATGCCGATCACTATATGAATTTTGTTATGTTAGTCTAATGTTAGATTGCAATGGTTTATTGCTTTAAGTCTATTGCTTAGTACCAATGTTCTTTAACTGACAATTGTTATTTAAATAAACTACATAAAAAGGTCAAGTACAAGGTAGTAATTGAATATATAACAACTGTCACAATCATATCTCACATCTGCTATTTACACGTATCTTATAAGAACTGCTTTTGGAAAATATCGCCCATAAAAGAACTTAAGGGTTAATCACTGAACAAGATTACAATTAAAATTACGAATTAAAATTAAATTTCAAAACAGACCAGACTACACTAACCGTAATGTAGCCTTGAACAGAAGCCTAATTTCTAAATTATAATTGAAGATATAGCTGGATGAAGGTATTATTGAATTCTTTTAAGTTGCCGTTTATAAATAAGTAAAAAGTTTTGCGAATAATATTTTGGTATAAAAATAAATTTCATTTTGAATTATTAAATAGAAGATGGAAGCCAAATACATGTGTTGTGTTACATAGCAGTAGCAATAATTTCATTACGAATTTCTCATTTTTGTGATATAACACTTTCATTCGCTTGTCTTCAATTGTTCCAAAAGTTCCACGTATTAATTAAAAAGCCGATTAAAAAATAAAAAATTTCTGGCGCTAACTTTGCCTTAATTTATTAACTTATGACTATAAAATAATTCAATTTTATTTTTTTAAATAGCAACTACGTGTTTCTTTTTAAAAACAAATAGTATCCGAGAAATAAAGCAGACGTTTAAGTTTTCTTCTTTTTTTCTGTTGGTTGAATCAGTTTTCAATTTCTCTTTAAGTGAGTTCTACTAATAAACCGTTAAGTAATTCCATTAAATATCTATGTCAAACCAAAACTTTTCATGTTACCCTTCCAGCACTCCTCTAAAAGAGTTTTGAGCAAATGATGAATTAACAGCTGATAGGATGAATTAATAGTTTCAGTGAAATTATTATCCGTCAAACGACTAATTTTTCATCGAAATATAAAAAAAAAAATGCCAATATCAATAGCAGTCCCATTTAAATTTAAGGGTGGAAAATTAGGGGATGTTTCTTGTCTCCTGATTGCATTTTGTTTACAGTTTCTGATTGCACTTTACTGTTGGGCTCTGGCGGCGTATATTTCTGCGATACATATCAAAATAATAAACTTTTAGCTGATTCGTCAACTTATCCTTAATATTCGTCATCTTATCTTAATTTTCCATACTTTAAATGGTGACCCAGGAAGTGTAGGTACGATTAAGCATGAGTTGGAACCATACATTAAAAATTTGGCATTCTCGACGCCCTTAATCCTCAAAACGCCCTTAATGATCGCGGCTCTTATGAAAATGCGTTATTAGGTCACAAAAATTGGGATGTAGGTTAATCTTCTTTTACAGTCTGAATAGTTTCTAGCATGAAATCAATATTAAATTCAAACAGAGTCTGATTAATTTGTTTTCCTTCAGCGATAACAGTTTCCGATGCATTTTACCCACTGAACATTCTGATTTAGAATGAAAAATGAAGCCTGAAGCATACATATCAATTCATAGCTAATCTGATAGAATGACATGTGAGGTAATTTATGGAGATTTTGTGGTAATTACTGCAAATAAGCCGTATCTGTTCTACATACGTGAAGCTCTACATAGCAACCTTACTGCCTTCGCGAAAACTTATTATTTTTGACTTTTTGAATTACATATTGTTAGTATGCATGCTGTTACAATTAAAATAAAAAGGACAGTAAATTATATCGTAATCAAAAGTTCATTAATGAGAAGGTAGTTGGATAAAATGACGAAAGTATGTACCTATTGCTGGGGGGTAAAGATTCTCTTTCATCTACAGCGGAAACGGTTGATTTTCACACGCCGCACGTTCTTGAGGTTCAAGCGCGTACAAAGAGTGAAGTAAGATTTTGATCGGCAGTGAATGTTACGTTCCAAGAGCACGTCTAGATTCATCAGATATATAACACTGCTGAACTGTAACTGATTAGAATTTTATCGCGCTTACTAGTTGGTAATCCAACTGATTTTTCACCTACGGGAAATCGATTAGAGAGCTTTTGATCGTATGGTGGACGATATCGGAGTTTGGACGTGTCACGCGAGAGAAGTGAGTTCTTTATCCTTAGGATGAGTTAAATACATAATAATGCAGTGGAATTCGTTTATCATGACTCACCAACAGCTTAATATGAAGTAATTGCAGTGTTAAGTTTGGTTTTCATATTAAATTCTCTATAGGAAAGTTTGGATACAATGACTCCGTTTAAAATGACATATCGTTTATTATGACTGATTCTCAAGATATATGCGGCTATAGTGACCCAAATGATTAATAATAACATTTTCGCTCATTTTTCTGACCCTTCTTATGTATATTGATAATATAATTCATCGTTCTTTTTCTTTTTCTGTTAATAAATATATACAACTTGTAGTTTTTCTCTCTATTAAACTAAATAACTAGCCAAAATAGAAAGTTGTTTATTTTCTAAGACTATGCTTTGTATGACGCCCGCTTAGTATGACGTGTTTGTCATTTCCCTTCGATGTCATTATAAGCGGATTCTACTGCAGTACCATGTAAAGTACATTCAAAACAAAGTATATAATTATATGATATACGAATAAGCTGACACCATAGAAATTGTTTTCATATTAGGTATATTACTGCTACATATGGATAAGTAATATATAATTTAAATGAATAGCAATACGAAGCTATTCATGCAGATATATCAAATTATATGCATGGTATTGAAAACCACAGCTATTCTACTGGCAATGTATAACTGAAACAACAGTTTGAAACCAGCATGAATTCAAAAGCAATTGTTATGTAAATTAAACTATTCAGAAAATTTGACACAACAGTATTAAATTAAGTAGAGCATTACGAGCAATTAATAGACAAAATAAGATATGCAGTACTTAGATAGACTGTTTAGTAAGTAATTTACTATGTATTATTGTTTCCGTATTGGGATCCGTCAAATTTATCGTAGTTCCTATAGTGTACCGTGCAATTTCCAAGTTTTTAAATTAGGATAAAATGATAAGTATTGACACAATATGTGATTGGGCTGGCACAATGCCTCGGAAAGGAAATTTCGTTGAAGGTGAGCGTGCTTTTAATGTCAATCACATTATAAAATTCGGAAATAACAAATCCGGAAGCTAGCCTTCAAATTCCGTCAAGTTTACTGCCTACTTTTTACAAACTTCGGATTTAAAAAGTGATTCACGTTATATAATTGGTGAGGTGATTCTGGGTGATTTAAGCAATATCATATCAATGACTTGCACGTGCAAAGCCGATTTAAGAGAACGTTGCAAACACATTATTGCAACTTTGTTGTATTGCAGCAGGTAGGTTCTTAACCTCAAAATACTTATATCGTATCATTAGAATTGTGTTAAATCAATTACACAGGAATAAATAATTTCTCACTTTATAATTTTAGTATGATTCTAGTTTTAAATATTAAGGTTATGGCTGATGGTAAATACTTGCTGAAATATAATCATGTGCATTAAAATGACGTGAACAAATTTTTATTCCGGAATTCACTTCTTTGATACCTACTGCTTTCATCCAAGCTTCTATTAGTTTACTTTTTTCTCTAATTTTCCGAATATATTTTTTACATATATAAAACGGTTAGTTTTTATTGGAAAGTAGTTAATGTAGGTGAAGAGTGAAGATCTATGTCTGAAGTGCTATTGCAGCTTTTCACTGAACATATTAACTTTTTATTTGATTTAACTTTAGAAGAAAACTTCGTCGACTCCATCATCAAAAAAATTTTTACTTTTTTAACGTGTTTTATTATTTTAATAAACAATTTTACAATTTGCGTGCACAGTTCCTATGTAAATTTTTCCCTCATTCGAGTTATAAATTTTGCCACGAGATGGTGTATGCCCATTTGACGGATCCCAATAGTTTTAATAAATATAATATTTTAGAAAGTAAGTGCAATAATATAAATATTCTCTAATTTAAAGAAACAAAGGAATAATTAGCCGTCAGTCTAGCATTACTACAGTAAATTTTAAAAAAATATTCAGTTACTACTCATTTACCATTCAATAGTAGACTTACTTTTACGTCTAATAAATAAAATTAATAAAAAAACTACGCTCTTGTGTTTACAAGGACACATCTTCAAAAATTATTCTTATATTGAATTGGAAATTAATTTGTCATAAACTTCTTCTCCTTCTTCTTCAAATCGATTTAAAGATATGTATTCTACAGACAGGTCAAAATTTTTAGATTAGTGCATACTTCCGTCTCTAAATATCTCAAACGGGTTACGTGATATTGTACCTTTATTGTCGTCTTTCTAGAAATCGACTTTCTCCATCACGACTGCGGAAACCCAACCGACTGTGATATCATTTCTTACATTAATGAAAGAAAAATGTGTTCACATGAAATTGAGAATATTTCCGATTTCGCATTTTCAATATTTACATAATGAAACAATATCGTTCTGGCTAATGCCTGAAATTTTTATTCAGATTTGAACCTCTTTCGTATTCAATTGAATACAGCATTTAGTCGAAAATGTTGTCTGGGTGAACGAATTGAAGAAAAACGAAATTACGGATTTGAAACCTTAGGAAGTATTTGTAATAACAAAACGATTTCTGCGGAAAAAGAATTTGAAGCCGAAAACCTACATGGTATTTACTTATTATTTATCCTAACCGTTCCACCATTTCATTATTATTACATACACTAGTTGAACCCATACGAAATTGGACAAGCACTTTACATTTCAATCTTTACTTGTATAGTAATTTATGATAAATTTATTTAGTCTATAAATAGATCTGGAAATTTAAGACTCAATTTTCCAGTTTTTTCTTCGTTTCGTTCGCGCTAGAGCTTCTGGGATATATCAATTACGTGCGGGATTAGAATTTCCTTTAGGATTTACATAACACTAGCACCAGCTGCATCGTAGCAACTTAAACGATATTTTACATGTGAATACGAACGACAGAGAAATTAAATTCGTGTAGATGTTAGATAATATGAAAACTGAAAATTTGCAATCCGCTACGGATAACAGAAGCTCAATTTCAACGAAAATACAGTACACAAACATACGAAGTCTGTTGAAAAAGTATCGCGAATTATGAATTTCCACGAGTTACGTAAATTCGATTTTCGTTTTTTTGGCACGTTTCCGATTTTTGCTTATTCCAAACAATGGATCAAGGAGTCTGTATCAAATTTTGAGTGAAAAACAAAAATAAGTGCACAGACGCATTCCCAATATTGACTATGACATATGGTGAAGCTACCATGAATTTATCGGTGGCACAAAATCTCCTCAGAGGGCAGAGAAGATGTGAACGACGAAGAGCGTGCCGGATGCCCCAGCAAGTCAGCAACAGACGAGAACATTGATGAAGTGAAGAAAATAGTATTGAGCAATTCTCTAATCACCGTTAGAGAAGTTTCTGAGAACCTATACATATCGATTGGCGCCTACCATTCGATTTTTACCAATGATTTCGGCATGAGACTGAAATTGCTCAATTTTTCTACCAAAAACAGCTGGGAGCTGTTGGACTGTTCCAGAGGGTCATAACTGGTGGCCAATCATGGGTTTATGATTATGACGTGGAGATCAGTGCTCAATCATCCCAATGGAAGCTGCCGCACGAGCCAAGACCGAAAAAAGCGCCCCAAGTTAGGTCGAATGTGAAGGTTTTTTACAGTTTTCTTCGATTGCAGGACGTGGTGCATTATGAGTTCTTGCCACAATAAGGAACATTACTTGCAAGTTATGCGCAATTGCGGGAAGAAATCTGCCAGAGACACCCGGTTTTTTATAAAGTCTCTGAACGAGAGACTCGAGTCGCTCATTGAGAGATCCTCATTTCGTATCCAGTCTCTGAACGAGAGACTCGAATCTCTGAACGAGAGACTCGAGTCGCTCATTGAGAGATCCTCATTTCGTATCCAGTATCTGAACGAGAGACTCGAATCTGAACGAGAGACTCGAATCTCTCAATAAGTGGTGTCTCGATAGACATAGAGATCCCAATCTTTCTACGAGAGACTCGAGTCACTCAATTTTTCAGTTTTATTCATTCATTCTCTCTGTGAGACACTCGAATCTCTGAATTAACAATTTTATCGTTCGAGTCTCTCATACAGAGACTGTGAGAGATCCATAAAAACACCTAGGCAATAACTGGGAGACTGTAAAAGACTGTGAGAAACGTTCTCAGAGACGCTGAAAGACTCTGAGAGACTGAACATTTTTGTCTAGGGCAACACACTAATAATGTTGCAGCTACCGTATTCCCCGGATCTGGCCCCCTGTGACTTTTTCTTGTTACCGAAACTGAAGAGGCCCATGAAAGGACAACGCTACGCTACGGTTGATGAGATAAAGACGGCATCGAAGGAGGAGCTCAACAAGATCGCAAAAAAGATTTTTTTAAGTGCTTCGACGATTGGGAAAAACGTTGACACAAATGTATAATATCTAATGCGGATTACTTTGAAGGGGACAAAATAGATATTCATGAATAAATAAATTTGAGGTACTTTTTGAACAGATCTGTATTTCATAAACGGCAGCGTTTACAATTTACTGAATTATTTCATCCAACGGAGATAATTGTTGTAAGAGACTAGTACAGAATTTTAATTTGAAAGGGTTTTTGTTATTATTCAAAACATACTCTAAAATACATAAATCAAGTGATGTTGATGAATAAATCATAACCACTTACGAATTTTACAATTAGACAATTGCTTGGGAAAAACGTTATGAACGTGTAAGACATTTATTACTGACTGCTAATTATTGTTGCTTGCAAGAATGCTGATAAATGGCTAGAGATGATAGTTGATTGGCTCTATTGTTTGTTATTTACAAGTAGGTACTTAATTTTTGGTTAGCAGTTGCTGCATTGCTGTACGTTGCCTACCGAAATTTATAATAGATTTGATACGTGTTTTATTTATTATTTAAATTAAAATGTAAAACGCATTCATTCCTTCTGAAACATTTTATTTAATAACAATTTAAAATTACACTGGTTTGTTTCACTAAAATATTTATTGGTCTTTGCAATATTTTTTTGATCATTTCCAGTTTGCTTTTAATGTCTTCTTCCAATAACCCTAGAAGATCGAAAAAATGTTGTAGCAAACAATAAATCTCTTAGATAAACAAACCCAGTGTTTTCATTGTCTCATTATTTTTTTTTTAAGTTTTAAGTACATATTTCTTATTTAGTTTTAGTTTTAAGTGCATGTATGTATCTATTAAGTTATACAAAGTATAGCACATCCTTTACATACGTAGAAAAGAGTTATCAAACAAAACTACTCACCAACGTGCAAATTAATTAATTCAAAAATTAATAATCACCGGTACGACTTCCTATTTGATAACAGTCGGTAAAATAGACAACAGATTAAGAAAACAGTCACACAACAAAAAATGGAGTCTACCAAATATACTGTATTATTGAGATACTTATACACAGGTCAAACTGGTAGAGTCTTAAAATACAGATTGAATGAACACTGAGATAGTTCGTACAAAAAACAAACAATGGTACCGGTTTTGACCAATAAGATCGTCATCTAGACTTAGGTAGTGTTAAACGATTGCCTATATAATAACAATACAGAAATAAGAAATACTTTCTACAACAACAACAACATACCTACTGTTACTAGCAATCAAGTTGAATGAAACTTATCTGTAATATTTTTAAAATCAATAATTTGAGCTACTATTTAAGGATCTAACTTTAATCACAATTTAAGGATTTTCCTTTTTTCTGATAATGATATAACACTGAAAAAATGCTGTCAAGATACGTTAATATTTTCGTGAAATAAACCAAGCGTTTTTCGTTATTAATCTATTTAGAGTATTTATTATATCATTATCCCATTTTCCGTCATGTCTGTCTCTAATCGTTTTGTCTAAAGGTCATTCTAACATTTCAGCTCGTAAGAGAAATTCCTATTTCGTATAACACACACATTCACATCAATAAATAATAATTAACACTGAGTTATTTATTTCACTTTATATTATTCTGATTTTTGCATTATTGCGTTTAGCAAACTGTTAAGCAGGGTGTATTGTGTTTCGAAAGTTTCGTCATTGTTTCAATTGGTTCTATAGATGATTGCCACTTTGGGATCGCCCTAGAAAATGGAATTATTCAGCGCGGTTCCCGACGTGTTCGTGTACTGAAACGAAATGGTCACCAACACCGTCTTAGAGGCACCAAGAAGATTTTTTTGTTGAGAAATAGTAGTAGTGGTGGGTATGTACATGTACTGGACTCGTAATTTTGCGAGGAAAATATTGGATATCCTATGCTTTTGTGATGCTTTACAAGTTCAGAACCGGACTTAGAGAAGTGATTTTATCGTACATAAAGTAAAATTGCTCTCTCCGAGCTTGTCCTTTTTCACTGATATTTTATTAGAATTCTTCAAAAAATAGCTTCGGTTCCGGGTCACTTCAGCATATATTTTGACCTTTAAATCCGGTCCTGACATACATAATATGGCTTACGATTTGTGACCTCTTACTTATCCAAGGAAAAGCATAATAAAGCCTTAAGTATTGGAATTTTTGATGAAGAAATGATAGGCCGGTAACCTAATTTCGAAATAAAAGGGAAAATTGATTATAATTTAAGAGGATCTTTGCATAATATCGCTCAAGGTTTTGGAGGAAATATAGAAATTCATAACCTCCTTTTTGTATAATATTAATATAATAAATTAAATACGACTCGATTATTAATAATATCCCTTCTCATGAAAATCAACCGAGTTATGTAAATTCTATCAAAATTGATAGAGTTAGTGAGGTAAATTGGATCAGAGCTGTTATTGAATTTTTAAACAAAAATCACCACCTTTGAGACTAAAAGATAAACGTAGCAGTAAAAATTTATTTTAATTTATTTTTGAAACTAATCACTATAAATATACTAGGGTCAATTGAAAAGTCCCCGGCCTGACACAAAATGATTTTGAATGACCGTAAATTGAAATTGAATGAAATAGCAGACACTCTACAGATATCAACGGAACGTATACATCACATCATTCACGAATATTTGGGTATGAGAAAGCTCTGTGCAAAGTGGGTGCCGCGCGAGCTCACTTTTGACCAAAAACAACGACGAGTTGATGATTCAGAGCAGTGTTTGAAGATGATCACGCGTAATAAACCCGAGTTTTTGCGTCGATATGTGACAATGGATGAAACATGGCTCCATCATTTCACTCCGAAGTCCAATCGACAGTCATCGGAGTGGACTGCACACGATGAACCCGCTCCAAAGCGTGCAAAAACGCAACAGTCGGCTGGCAAGGTTATGGCGTCTGTATTTTGGGATGCGCGTGGAATAATTTTCATTGACTACCTTGAAAAAGGAAGGACCATCAACAGCGACTATTACATAGCGTTATTGGACCGTTTGAAGGACGAAATCGCCGAGAAACGACCGCATTTGCAGAAAAAGAAAGTCCTGCTTCACCAAGACAATGCACCGTCTCACAAGTCAGTGAAAACGATGGCAAAAATTCATGAATTGGGCTTCGAATTGCTTCCGCATCCACCGTATTCTCCAGATCTGGCCCCCAGCGACTACTTCCTGTTCTCAGATCTCAAAAGAATGCTCGTTGGGAAAAAATTTTCGTCGAATGAAGAGGTGATCGCCGAAACTGAGGCCTATTTTGAAGCAAAGGACAAATCGTACTACAAAAATGGTATCGAAAAGTTGGAGGATCGCTATAATCAGTGTATCACCCTTGAAGGGAATTATGTTGAATAAAAAAAACGAATTTTGCAAAAAAAATGTGTTTTACTATTTTAGGCCGGGGACTTTTCAATTGACCTGTTATATACATAATAGTATAAACTGACTGGCTGATCTATCAATCCACAGCGAAAGCCCTTAGGCCTACAGACTTAAATTTTGCACAAACGTTTTCTATACAATGCAGGCAAGAATTAAACAGAATTTTTTAAAATTCAACCCCTACTGTTCAAAGCTTGATACATCGACTGCAAATTATTCGTTTAGCCCATTCTGAATCAGTTACATTGACCTTATCTTGAATATTGCTTTATATATTTAATAATCCACGAATTGGTACGTCTACAATTTCAGAGTGTTTTTCATGAAATTATTTACGTACAATTTCAATTTAAATTGAATTTAGTATGGTAAATTGCTTCAGTTCGCTTCAAATTCCTTGGTCCTAAGGAAAGCAATTTCGTTTAGGACCTACACTTAATGCCAACTTTAAAAACAACAAAATAAAATAATGTAAATGAAAATTGAATATTTTATAATTTATTGGAATTGTTATTTGCTCATCACGATACTGCAAATATAAATAACTATTACAAAGAAAAGGAATGTATCCGTTAATGTTGGATTTATTTATAAGTTATATTCTAAATCAATATTAATTTATCAAGCGCTCTAATAACATTTAAAATACAAACACGAGAAATTCATTAGGAGAAGGCGAAAATAAAACGCCCACGGTATATCCATAACTTAACAGAAAATAAGTCTAGTTGACTTTTAAGCTTCTCATTTATCTGTATAGGTATTCATTTACTTCAATGGTATTTCAAATTTTGCATCAAAATTATGTTCAGAATGTTCCAAGAATATTGAAAGAAAAGAAGAAAACCAAGAGCGAATATGCAAGAACAAGGAACAAATACGCAATATTAAACGAAAAATTATTATTTGTGGATTTATGAATTAAACCTTTCGAGTTTCTTTATTGTATTCTTTTCTTAGCACAAAACAAGGAGGAGTTGGAGATAGCTATAAATAAAATGGAAGCGGTATTGACAAAACTGTATTGTATGAAAATAAATAAAAGTAAAACACAAATACTGGTATGCAAAATAAGAAAAAGTAGGGAAAGAGCGAATGTAAAAATAGGAGAAGAGAAATTAGAAGAAGTGGCTGATTTTAGCTATCTAGGAAGTCAGATAAGACAGGACGGAAGGAGTAGTAGGAATATAAAACAAAGGATAGCACAGGGTCGAGTCGCCTTCAATAAAAAGAAGTCACTTCTATGCTCGCGAACGATTAGTATAGAAATTCGAAAAAGATTGGTAAAGGTGTATGTTTGGAGCGCAGAGCTGTACGGGTGCAAAACATGGACGGTGGATAATGTGGCATTACCGGCGAATGATAAGAATATCGTAGATAGAGAAGGTTAGAAATGAAAAACAAAAAAATTAGGCGAGATAGGTTGGTAGGACACCTTCTAGTCAGAAACATATTAAAGCCAGAAACAGGAATTAAGAGGAGTAGAGGTATACCTAGATTAGATCACTGTTTGCATGTAGTTAAAAATTTGTGGGATGTTCTAGTTTTAGGGAAATGCGAAGATTAGCTCAGAATAGGAAGGAGTGGAGGTGTGTGTCCAACCAGTTTTAGGGCTGAAAACCTTATGGTGATGTTACGAAAAAAAAATTTGGCGACACTATTTTTTTTTTAAGTCATGACAAGTTCGCATGTATGACGGAAAATTGTGCTCGGAAGAATGACTAAAAATGAAACAAGTATCAGGTTAAATGAGAAAGACTAAGACTTAACACACAAGACCAAGACCAAGACCGACGCCGAGAGCAAGACTAAAGCTATTTGAGTAAGACCAAAACCGAATAAGCAAGACCAAGACCAAGACTGTCCCACAGAAACACCAAGACCAACATCAACGTCAAGACTAGAAGTATTTGAGCAATATCACGACCAATTCCAAGAGTGGGACAATCTTGGTCTTGGTTTTGCTTTGCGCATCACTAGAAAACACTAACTGAATCACAAATTAGAACAACCACAAGTTTTTATTATAAATGTGATTTTTATAAAAGAGAAATCTATTTTGTGTTTTACATTTGAAATAACAAATCAAAAAAGTATTTGCATTTTGTATTTAAATAATTTAAAAAAAACATTTTGCACATATTATACGTTTGAAATTTTTAGATTTTCATGCGAATAATTTGGAAAAATACATATTTACTGTATGCTAATAAACGATTTGTAAATTCCTGTCTTTTTATGTCTTTCGTTTCATATAAAATCACAAAATATATCCAGTAATTTATTACGCTACTCCACCTTCCCAAACCCAAATATAGGTAATTATCACGCTACTGACATTATAATATGTGCACGCATCAAACGAAACGTTTGTCAAAGTTGGTGGTTGTTCTTAAATTATGACGCTGTATATATGTACGTTACTTTTTCTAATTAGTTAAATAAAAACACTTGGCGTACGTAAGTTTCATATTAGATTTATTTAGAGGATCTAACATCAACTTTTCTTTTGACGTGACAACGTCTTATAATTCGATGGAGCCGACTGCACGCACGAAAAAATATGATTCATGCGGCATTACCTCGCTCTGAGGCGTTCCATTTAAGGCTTGAAGTGCAAGCGAGAACGCGGAACGAGCGACAAAGAGACACAATCGGCCTCCGCGTTCGGCAGCGTTCGACATCTGTCTCTCTCCTACTTGAGTGAGCGATGCGTCCGCGTGGACAGCTGCTATACAATAATACATTTCCATTTACCTCCTTCTCTATATCCATACAAAATATCTATCAAACAAATAAAATTAAAATTTTCTTTTGAAAAATGAAACCATTCCATCAGTATTTTCTTATGACGTTGTCACGTTCAACTATCGTCAGTAAACCGACTTTACAGACAACCGATTTTTTTTACATAATTTTGAAATAGTATTTGTGTACATATTAAGGTTAAAATTATATTTGCAGCTATTTTTAATATGGTTTTCAATTGGGGAACACAAAACTGGAAAAATTGAAAGGCATTTTGTTAGTAGCTGTAAATATAATTTTCACCTACATAAATACACATTGAAAACAGTGGAAAATCCGAAACAATATTGTTAGATCCTTTAAATAAATCTATGAAGCATACATACATCGAATGTTTCTTATTTAATTATTGTAACTATTAAAAATGTTTCATCAAGTGTCAAGCAACGATTGTGATTCTAATAAAATATTAGTTGTATGTTGCATGTAGATATCTATTGCAGTTTACGTATAGAAATAGATTAAACAATTAATAAAATTGCCTCAAGCATTAATTTCATAATTTTAGTATTGAAAATCGTATTAGGATCTTGCATATGGGATCTATCTAGTAAAATATAAAATTGTCGGACGCCAGATTCGATCGGGATCGACGGTCGAATATTGTATTACGTTAACCCTCTTAATCGGATAAATATTTGGTGATTGAAAAATGTCGATACGTTGCGTTTAATAATAACGCTGTTGGTTCTTGGTTCGTTCGTTTTATCTGGATAAGATGCTTTCGGTTAGGTAATCCCGACGAGACTTCTTTTTACTTGCACAACATGCGGGGTCTTTCTCCAGACTCTCAGAGTCTTTCAGCGTCTCTGAGAGCGTCTCTCACAGTCTCTCAGTTATTGCCTAGGTGTTTTTATGGATCTCTCACAGTCTCTGTATGAGAGACTCGAACGATAAAATTGTTAGTTCAGAGATTCGAGTCTCTCACAGAAAGACTGAATGAATAAAACTGAAAAATTGAGAGACTGGAGTCTCTCGTAGAAAGACTGGGATCTCTGAAATATGTTGAACTTTGAAAATTTTAACCATGTCTATCGAGACATCACTTAGTGAGAGATTCGAGTCTCTTATTCATAGATTCGAGTCTCTCGTTCAGAGACTGCATACGAAATGAGGATCTCTCAATGAGCGACTCGAGTCTCTCGTTCAGAGACGCTAAACAGCTAAACTTTCGACAGCCTCTCTCAGCGACACCAGAGACACTCGATGAGAGACGGAGACTCGAGTCTCGCTTTCAGATTTTATCTCGGGTAGGTAATTAATAATAATGTTCCACTGCCGAGCAATGAATTTATACATATATTTCTAAAATATTGATTGTTCAATGCACGTATCTATAATAGGTTAGGTTAGGTCAGGTTAGAATCATATTTCTAAAATATTAGTTGTTCAATGCATGTATCTGTTGTAAGCTACGTGTAGAAATAGAACAAACAAATAATAAAGCTAATCTCATATTGCGTTAGTAATTTTTATCACTTCCTTTTATTGGTTTTACAGGTAACAGCTGCACTAATTCATCCGGATACGCGGACAGTACGTCCCTAAGGACATTTTCCAAAAGGTCGCGACGGAATGAGAGCAGATCGTCCAGTTATTCGCCAAGACGGATAGAGAATTGCCTCTGAACGCCCACATACAGTCATTATTTTAACAAAACTATGTGCAGGTTTGACAAGTATTACTATTTTTATAAGGCCCTAGTGTATATTATGCATCTCTACGTAAAAAGCAAATACTAAGATATAGCTTTAAATAGAAGAATGTGTGTTTCATGAAAACGTTTAGGAAAACCTTACTGAACAAGCGGACAGCCAGTAAGAAGTGGGGGTAGATACAGAGAGAGAGAAAATGCCCTATTTTTTTTATTACGTTATCCAATGCTCAAAAATTTATAGAAATGTCGATCTCCTTATACATAAGAAGGTCGCTTAGATACTACTTTAGTTTTAGACGATAAATAGTAAGAGAGATATTTAAGTCAAATACAGGTATGGCAAAACTTTCACTGAGTGAAACTACACAATTAAGTCCAACAAGAGAAAACTGATTGAATGTAGAAGTTCTTATAAAACATAGCTGCAATTAACGTATCAACCAATATTACACTTAAGTCTAAATATTATAACTCTAGACAAAAATTTTCAGTCTCTCTCCAGTCTCTCAGAGTCTTTCAGCGTCTCTGAGAGCGCCTCTCACAGTCTCTCAGTTATTGCCTAGGTGTTTTTATGGATCTCTCACAGTCTCTCGTTCAGAGACTGGATACGAAATGAGGATCTCTCTATGAGCGACTCAAGACTCTCGTTCAGAGACGCTAAACAGTTTTTTTGACGGTCTCTTTCAGTGACACCAGAGAGACACGATGAGAGACGGAGACTCGAGTCTCGTTTTTAGAAACTCTGAGAGACTGAATATTTTTATCTCGAGAACCCTAGTGTCCCTTTATACTTTCATGATGTAGTACAGAGCCGGGCAAACTTTAACTTCGCAGGAGCTGCTACATGAGGTTAGTTTGAGTCACTCCATACCCTTCAATGAGTACGAGAGAGTAAGCAGTAATGAATAATTTTGTTTTGTCTTTTTCTTCTCCCTTCCACTACCATATCAAGCCCCTTCATCCCGTAGACGAGCGAAGCCACTCTCGCAACTTAAAAAATACCTACGAAAATTTTCGTTACTACGTTCGCAAAACTATTGGGTTTGGCTATGGAAGAGGGGACTCATCTAATGGAAGGGATAAGAAAAGGAAAGAATCATCTCACTCGCTCTCGCAGGATCAATGAGGAGCTACTTGGTTAACCTTGAGGAGCATTTGGGAGTCAAAAGAGCCGAGTTTGCCTGGCTCTGATGTAGCATACCTATTTATATTGTTTTGAATTTTTAGATTTTGTCAGTGAGTCATTTGAACAATAATTTGGATAGAAATGTCGCAGTGTTTGTGATTGTTTTAGAAAACCATGGACACATATATCAAATATAAATCTGTTTTTATAAGTTATTTGATATAAAAACAGTACAAATAAAGTGATTTTATATTTCTACCCAACTACTTTATATAGGCACATATATGACATGAAAAGTTAATATAAGTAGAGATGAGAGGTCATCTCCGCAAAGTAACTTAGAGATTATTATTTTGGTAATAAAAGTATATACATACTTAAATGTATTTACTTCATAGAGTGCTATTTTTGTTACTTTTCCAAATGTATCTACTACTATCTATCAGCCACACCAAATTTCAATTAGTATTTTCATGATCAATGCGTATTAATTAATTAACAGTGCTGCTAATATACTATAAGTTTCTTTTCTTTCCTTTTATAATAATAAATATCGGAAAGTCGTAGCAGAAGTTTTGACGTTCACGTATTATAGTAATGATGCTCGGTTATAAAAAAGAACGAAAATGGAAAAAAGCCTCGTTTATATAATGAGTCAGATTCTTGGTTTACGTTCAATTGTGTGTGAATTATTGTAGATCTGGGTCGACCTCTAATATTAGTTATAGTATCAGTTCAGTTTTTCTTCTGTCGACAGGAAATACAACATATTCCCCTACTTTATTAGTGACCAGTGCTAAATTCTTGTGAAACGTCACGTATTTCCCTTATATCACCAAATTGTAGGTACATAATAAAAAGGTAGATCGAATTCACCTAAACCCTTAAATCGGATGTATTAGTATAAAGAAGAAAGAGAGACCCTGCAAATGGCAGAATCGTGTACCGTAATAAAATCCTAATCTTTCTACAAACAAAGCCACGGATGCGACGGCAGATTATTTATAAGCTAATAATATAATTTAATAAAAGATCTACCTAAAGACGGCCGTGAAATAAATTGTAAAGACTGTAAGTAACGTACCGGACTCCCGGCTTAAATTAAAGCTTTTAAGAAACACGAACGTTAAATAAGTATATTTTAAACATACATACATAATTACGGAAAGTTTAAACTAACTTTTATCACAATTGCTAGAGATCTTTGATACTTTGTGAAACTCCATTATGACTTAATTTTTTATTGTTCTTTTAACTTTTTCATACTTCACTTTAACGTTAAAAATGAAACGCTATCTATTGTTTGTTCGGCTACTTTTTTTTTGTAAAGCTCAAAAATACTTATGAAAAGATAATTGTGGAAAAATTCTGTTAAATTTACCTAGAAAATTCGTTACTAAAGCTGGAGAAATGTCAATCTCCATTATGATTGCATATCAAATGTTGTTTTTTTTTTAGCAATAAGAATACTTATTTTTTTCACATTGTTAATGAAAAAGTTTTAACCATTGATGAGTTTGTACCTCTAGAATATATTGGCATGGATTAAAATTTGGCAGGACTACCGGAATTACGTAAATCCGCTGATGTGTTGAAATTCTGTTTTTCCGCAATCCATGAAGAGTAATAATATTTTTACTCTCTTTTTTTGTTTCCATTTTGTGTGAAATTCATTGTTTCTGATATATACATCGACTGCTTTATGTTATTATCCGATCATCGTAGGAAATTGCTTTCTCTTTTATTACGTTTTTAATCTGTATTATGCCTAGAACCTCCACCAAATTTTTTAGTGTACCTATCAATCAGGATAAAAGCGAGTATTATCTATTTTTAAACGATCAGGCTTTAGAAAGAATAAAAAGAACGCAATTTAAATAATTAACAACTTGTAACTTGAACTTGAAACTTCTGATACAGCGAAAATTAATCTGAGAACTATTTATGACTGTTAATAGATTTATACCTGTTTATGAAAAGAATTGTTTCTGTTATCATACACCAAAGATAGAAAGCTTGGCATTCCCCCCCCCCCTGGTNGCTGTCAAACCTACACTAGCAAGGAGATCGGGCTGAAACTATAGCTACAAGCTATCCAAGGATGGTACTATAGAATGTCACCTCAAGGTAGGCCTAGTGGCGTCATCTCTTGGTTAGGCCGGAAACTTATCAATCCACCCTCGTATGTTAAATTTACCTAGAAAATTCGTTACTAAAGCTGGAGAAATGTCAATCTCCATTATGATTGCATATCAAATGTTGTTTTTTTTTTGCAATAAGAATACGTATTTTTTTCACATTGTTAATGAAAAAGTTTTAACCATTGATGAGTTTGTACCTCTAGAATATATTGGCATGGATTAAAATTTGGCAGGACTACCGGAATTACGTAAATCCGCTGATGTGTTGAAATTCTGTTTTTCCGCAATCCATGAAGAGTAATAATATTTTTACTCTCTTTTTTTGTTTCCATTTTGTGTGAAATTCATTGTTTCTGATATATACATCGACTGCTTTATGTTATTATCCGATCATCGTAGGAAATTGCTTTCTCTTTTATTACGTTTTTAATCTGTATTATGCCTAGAACCTCCACCAAATTTTTTAGTGTACCTATCAATCAGGATAAAAGCGAGTATTATCTATTTTTAAACGATCAGGCTTTAGAAAGAATAAAAAGAACGCAATTTAAATAATTAACAACTTGTAACTTGAACTTGAAACTTCTGATACAGCGAAAATTAATCTGAGAACTATTTATGACTGTTAATAGATTTATACCTGTTTATGAAAAGAATTGTTTCTGTTATCATACACCAAAGATAGAAAGCTTGGCATTCCCCCCCCCCCTTGTGTGAAGTGCTACGCGAGGCGAGGGTGAAAAACTCCAGGGAGGGGGTTGCAGTACTTTCTTTCCGAGACTCGTACACATTTTTTTACCATTTTTCTGCCCAAAAAATATAATTTTTCCTGACTTCAGGGACGAGAAAATGCAACATAGCCTCCCTAGGTTAGTAACCACGTTTATTGTTTATAAAAAATACTGAACACTGAAATAAATAGTAAAATTGACTCCCAGTAATTGCGATTTCTTACCGAGAAGTGAATGGTGTGCTATCGCCCCTGAAATCAGGGAAAAATATCGTACTATTGGTAGAGAAAACGAAAGCTTTAGTAGCATTAGGATAAGGACTAGTAGTGGATATAGGTTGATCAAGTGTATTCCTGAATAACGTCACTGCGGTACGAATTTAAAGATGAACAATAAGATAGAGAAAACAAAACGAAACATGGTGTTAAATGCCTCTTTAAATTAATACGTAGATTATAAATATTATGTATATGATACAGTATACATATATACTTGAATTAGTTTCGATTTCTTAATATTTTTTGCTAAAAACTTACACAGCAAAATCATTAAAAGGTCATTGAAGTATTAAATAGTTATGTATTTTACAAATGTGGATAAACCTGTATAAAAATGGTTAGGTATAATGAAAGTAATACAATGTGATACTGCATGCGCTTAGATTGTAGAAATCAATAGTAGAAAGGACACGAGGCAATGTCTAGTATCTGTTGTCACATCTTTAACAATAATAAGTAACGAATATTCCACCAAAAACACTAATACAAATAAATACAACTACTTCTCAGTGTCTCCGATAAGGCTACAACATGAATCCATTTAGACGATGCCATGCCAGACGCACAAAATTAAAGTTTAGCTAAACCAAATTCAGGCACAATATAATACATAGATATTGTCAAAAATAAAGCTGAATTAGTGGTTAGAATGAACATGCAAAAGTAAAAAGAATAATAATGTTGAAAACTATACAACATATTATGGCAACATTAGAACGAATTTCTTTTTTAATCGGTGATTTTACTTTATCAGTATTTGAAAACATATTTGCTTACAGAAGTTTAAGTTTGGTTAGTTATTTTTCAAAATTACCCACAAATAAACACAGTAAAAAAGAGCGAACTCCGAAACCTACATCATTATCATTTTAAAAATTAGAATAAGAAAACCTTACTTCTCAAAACAAAACCTACTATGTCCTTTTTTTGTGCAGAATCTAAATAATTAATTAACAACAACTTTCATTATCATATCTATGTTTATACCTATAATTCAAAGCTATGCGTATAGGCTATAGATAAAGTGTTCCTTGTGTGAATTTGAATTTAAGTGATTTTTGTGGGACACCAATTGCTAGCGTGTAATCATTTGTAAAAATTAAGTTCCTCAATTGTATGCTAGTCTAAAGTTCTTTTTTTAGTTTAGTTTTATATATGATGTATTTGTTATCCCAATTTACCATAAAATGGATAAATTTGCTTTTGAATTGGATAAATAAGTACACCTACATAATAAACAAAGTAGTGTGGAGTTGTTAATTTTTTGTTTCAAATTTCTATTATCATTTTACTAACTTAGGGAAAACATCTTAATTTACAGAAGTAAACCCGAATACCTACCATTTGAAAAGTACACTTTTTAACTAATTTTTAATGTTACAATATATTTTTATATGATATAGTAGTTAGGTGTGTAAATATCTAGGTATGTAAGCTACCGTGTTTCTACTACTAATTAATAAATTAAGGAACTAAATCCGGAAATGACAGCGAATTTACTTATGTGTGTTCATGAGATGTATATTTAATTAGAATTTAAAATTGAAAAGTTTGACAAAAAGGAAAATTTTAAAAATGACAAACATACACGTCTTACTTTATAAGAGGGGTTTGTTTATAGAACAAGCAAGTGTAAATTAGTAAGAACCTAATTAGGATGTATGTATCTAAGTATAGTACATACAGTGTAAATAGAAGGTAACTGTAAATAAACTTATTTTTGTGTAGAATGTGTCTTATTCTGAAAACACTTTAAGTGATTAATTCGTTCCTTTAGATGTATATATAACAAAATCTCAATGATATGTTATTTTACTTGTTGGTATTTTTTACAAACTACTGTCTAAAACAGGGATGGCGAACCAATGGCACGCGACACAATATTTTGGGCACGTCACTAATGTTTCTGTCATTGATTCTTTAATCAAGGAATTTTTTCAGCAAGATTTTCTCACTTCAGAGAATTATCGGAAATATTAATACGAAAGTTTATTATGTACCCTGATGTGATATTTGATAAAATAAATTGAAGAATCTGAAATGCAGCTGATTGATTTCTAGTGTAGTTCAATATGATTCAAAAAGTTGTTGGGACAAGGAAAGAGTTGAGAATTGAAACAGAAAGATTGACGGGTAATACAAGTGAAAATGCTAATAACAAAATTTTGGAAACATGGAATGCGATAACAAACACATTTAATTTTTTGAAAAAGCTGGCATATGATATTTTAATAATGTTTTCATCAACCTATGCCTGCGAGTTATCATTTTCAGAGATTAATAACATCAAAAACTCGCATTTACAAACCGTTTGGTAGATGACTCCAGTTCAGCATGCATTCTGCTAAAATTAACATCTTACAACCCCAACATAAGTTATTTGTCATCTAATCTGCAAAAGCAGAAGTCACACTTATTTTACTTTAATTTAAATTAGACGTATAATTTAAACATTGCAAAATGTTCCTATTTTGTTGTAGAATTTTGAGTTGATATTATTTATTATCATTATTTTCCCAATAATCACAGAGACAAAATTATTTGATGGCACGTCTATGACCTAATTAAACTTTTCTTTATAAAAATGGCACGACGGTACTTAAAGGTTCGCCATCCCTGGTCTAATACAATCTAATTTTATTACGCAATGTGCCGATATTTTACAAAATTATATTTTTCATTCAATTTACGAAATGCGAAACTCCTACACAGAACCGTCATAATACAAAATTATGTTTATTATTATTCCGAAACACATTGAGGCCAATTTGCAGAACACGGAACATTGCGCGGAATTGCCTACGAATGTAGGTCGTGACCAAATCCCCATGTGTGACTTTGGCGGAAGTGCAAATAAGCACTATGTGGGGTACCCACTATGAGTATAAATAAGAGACAAAAAAAGGAGTAGTAGGGAGAGATTAAGTTAATCCGGAAAACGGTCGGGAAATCCGCGAGGAGAAAAGATCCGAGAATACGTGAAATTTGGAAATCGTCAAGTGGCGAGTTGTGCCAAAGCAACCCTACTTATGTCGAAGTCGTCCCATTACATCCTAGGTCATGGAAAAGTAGGTAGGTATACCTCCCGGGAAGCAGCAGTTTGGATCAAGGTAGCACTTCAATAATAATTTAATCTCCCTAAGTGGCTCCTTGCTCTGAACAGGTCCCAGTTTGGTTTACTGGTTTATTGATCTAGGTTAGTAATTTAGCGGTAACTACTTTGTATGCTACATCTATAAACATTGCGAAAAGGGAAAACAGGTGTCCTGATCATTAACCTTTCAATCTGCAAGAGACGATGAAAAAAATTTGTTTTCAGGCAGACGACATCGGTACAAGACGGTCTCTATGAATAGTGCACGAATTAACGAAAAGCCTAAATCATCATCATAAGGTCATCAGTCTTAAGACTGGTTGGACACGTACCTCCACTCTTTCCTATCCTGAGCTAAACTTCGCATTTCCCTAAAACTAGAACAGCCCACATCCTTAACTATTTGCGAAGAGTAATCTAATCTAGGCCTACCTCTACCCCTCCTAACTCCTGTTTCTGCCTCTAATATGTCTCGTATGTTTCTGAAAAGCCTAAATGTGAGATATCAAATCTAATTGATAAATAACTGTATGTTGATGTTTTAAATACATTAAGTACCTCTATAAAATATTATAGCGCATGGATTAAAAACACTTAGAAATGAAACTTTTTTTAACAATTTTCCAACGATACACATACCCTACATTTATTAGGTATGTTTTCATTTTGAAGAAAATAAGTACTTATAATATAGTAAAACCAGATAAGTGATAAAATCTGGAATGAAATATGTATCTTGTGTAAATTTTTCTTGTATAATAATTGTAAAAGATATGGGGTTGTACCAAAACGGCGATTACAAAATTCTTACTAACATTCGAAATGATTTTCAAGAGTCATTTAAAAGAACATATAAAATATTCCTACCTGTTCCCGTAGTTCCAGGAAGACTAATTCTAGTGTTGATTGGTAACAGTTCCAAAGCTTCGAGAGTCCTTCGCGACTTTGCCCCAATTCTCTTGGGTGGTTAAGAATAAAAGGTAATTTTCATTTGTTTTCATCTGCAAAACGTACAGACTTATTTTGTTCCAAACTGTAATTACGTTCCTAAACAAAAGCAGAAAAGACCATTCACATGCATTTAAATACTTCCAATAAAAACAATTGCAACTTAAATGTTTATTGTATGTTAGTACATTAAAGTTAGGCATTGTGAATGTAAGGTTAATAATCAGCGTTGCTATTAGTAATAAAAGGTTCTGATAAATCAGTTTCTATAGCTTCTCAAAACTGATTCATGAAAATCATCAATGAGGGTAATTTTCTAGAAAAATTGATGTGCTATAAACATTACTCTTACAGTAAAAACTACAGAATTGATCACATCAATTAACATAAAAGAAATATTCAGTGTCTCACTTGAAAAAAGAATCCTTATGTTAAAGATAATAACAAGGAAAGAAACACCTACATGCACTTATGTATGTAGCTACACTTCATCGGGTTTTAAATCATGTTGTACTTTATTTCTGCACGTGTTATTTGTATCTTTTGATTTAATGTCAGCAGGCAGCTTGGATGTCTCCATGACTTCGTTTGATGTTCGGTTTTCTTCTAGTACAGAGGACAGTTTCAGTGCAAGATCAAATGCCTGTAAAGAAAAATGAAAAATGAAGTAAATGTATATATAGGTACCAACCTAAATTGGGACCAAAGGAATTTATTCATACGTATAATTATTTTAGTCGTCATTAAATCTACAAAACGTATAAAATTCGATATCGATTTCTTTTGACGTCTTTTGTACAGTGTCAATTTTGCATTGACTAATCTACCTTTTCACACTGTTCATTAAAATGAGAAAACTGTGCATATCGAAGGATAATGCCTAGTTCCCTCCCATATACCTGTTTGTAATTAGGGTTAAAATTTTCGGTATGTCGAATTCCCTCCTAATTATACATCAGTTGCCTCCCAACGGCGGCGGACTTTGAGTGCTAATTGCCACTCTAAAGTCATAAAGAGTTGTTTAAATAATACAGCCTCACATCGCATATTCATCTTAATATTATTCATATATTATAGACACCACAATAACAATAATAATTTTATCAGACTACCCTTCTATTGGTCAAATACAAGACAAACTAAAACTAATAAAGTTTTTCTGGATTATTGCATCAAAAAGCTAGACGCACACGAATTTCCAAACATTGAATTTGTTAAGGTAGTGGGAAACCATTTTAAAATTAAATAAATAAACATTTCATAACTGATATGTGTTTTCTTTCTGAAATTATTTTATCTTTAATTTACTAAAGTACTGAAGTGCACTATAAATATATATTTATTTACTATAAATAAAATCGGTAAGTAGTCGTTAACTTAATTATCGGAGTTGATATGAACGGGAGGGAACTCGGCTAGTACCCGGGAGGGAATTCGGCATCACCGATATCGAATGCCTACAATACCTGAGCATTTTATAATTAAAAGGATGGTAAAAATATTATGGAGGAGAAAAACAGCAGATATGCAGGAAGAATGAAAATATTTAGTATATAAAATTGATGTACCTACATGTAGGTATATATAGAATACCTACATATATGTATAAAACGTAATGTTTTCAAAAAAGCAATCTATTTATCTATATTTGCAAGCCTTTTTTGCTACCGATCGAAAAGTATCTTACCTCTTTGTCATTAGAATCTTCAGTTTTCAATGCAAGAACTTCCTGAACCTTATTAGAGGCATCACGATGCCGACCCATTAGATACAGGCAAATGCAAAGATTTACCATTACTGCAGGTTTTCCTGGTGATATCATTTCAGCTTGTGCGAAGGCCCTTAGGGCGTTTTGTGAATCTTGCAATTCTAGTAATACGTCTGAAATGTATAAAAACAACCGTTCCTAGTATATTTTTTGTGTTAAAGTATGGAAATTGTGTTTTTCAGGTAAGTCAGATAACAAAATACATCTACATTATCATAACGTCGTCAGTTCTAGGACTATGATTGGACACGCATCTCCACTATTTCCTATCCTGAGCTAATCTTCGCATTTCCTTAAAACTATACTAAAAAAAAACTTTTGGGTGTTTCATTCCCACCAGCCAGTAATACTGGTGGGCGGGCAGTCCCTCCGGACTATGCCGGAAGGTAGGGCGGAAGGCCCTCTTCAGCCTGCTTTCAGGAATAGTGGGAATGGGTGGGTGGTGGGTCGGGTGAGAAAGATGGGACGGACGAAATGAAGACAGAAGACAGTGAAAGGTTATCTGTAGAATATTACTGCCTCAGCATTTGCCTAAGTGATCCAAGGAAACCACAGAAAAACTTGAACCAAGGCAGACGGACCCGGAATCGAACCGGCGTCCTCCCGAATGCTAAGCAATGGTCTAGACCTCTAGGCCATGCCGCTCGGTTTAAAACTAGAGCATTCCGCATCCTTAACTATTTGTGAACAGCAATCTAATCTAGGTCTACCTTTACCCCTTCTAACTCCCGTTTCTGCCTCTAATATGTCTGACTAGACCTTCATGCCTGAGAAGGTGTCCTACCAACCTATCTCGCCTATTTCTTATTGACTTCTATAGAGTCCTTTGTTCTCCTATTCTTTCTAATACCTCTTCGTTTCTAACCTTTTCTAGCCACGATATCCTCATCATCCGCCTATCACTCCACATTTCGAACGCTTCTAACCTTTTCTTTTCCGTCGCTCCCACCGTTAATGTTTCGCACCAGTACAACGCCGCGTTTCAAACATACACCTTTAACAATCTTTCTCAAATTTCTAAATTAACCGTTCGCTAGCATAGAACTGACTTCTTCTTATTGAAGGCGATTCGACCCTGCGCTATCATCTGCTTTATATCCCTACTACTTCTTCCGTCCTGACTTATCTGACATCCTAGATATACAAAAAATCACCCTATTCTTTTAATTTTTCGTTTCCTATCTTTATATTCACTCTTTCCCTACTTTATCTTCCCTGGCATACTAGTATTTTTTACATTTATAAGGAATGATAAAGTAAAAAATAAAGGTAAATATGTACAAGTTACTCTGTTTTTTGGGTATTTATAGGTATTATAAAAGGTTGACGGTGTCTCTTAATTTGACAAAAATAATAAATTATTCCAAAAAAATGAAACTCGAGTTTTTGAAAAATGTCAGATATTTTCATACCCCTACACAGTACATAATTGGGCTGTAATTGTAATTACCTAGTTATGACCTCATTTGTTACCTATTGTAAGGGCCACGTCACAGGTTGAGTAATGACGGTGCAAGTTATCAAGCTAATTAAAGGGTAGTAATCTTACAACATCACGAGTTACATACAGGTAAGGTAAATTGTTTACCGAACGTTGAAATTACACATTGTTTCTTATTTCTCACGATCAGTATTACATAATGGATAGAGAACGTTAGAAATGAAGTGATATTAGAAAGAATAGGAGAACAGAGGACTCTATGGAAGTCAATAAGAAATAGGCAAAATAGGTTAGTAGGACACCTTCTCAGGCATGAGGAGTTAAGAGGACATTAGATTACCGTTCGCTAACAGTTAAGAACGCGTGTTGTTCTAGTTTTAGGGAAATGCAAAGATTAGCTCAGGATAGGAAGGAATGGAGGTGCGTGTCCAACCAGTCTTAGGACTGACGACCTTATGATGATGACGATACGAGTATGTTCGGTTTTCAATTATCCTGCACAGTATGTATTAGTAAATGTATCACCGAACCAGTTTTCATTATAATTTCTTACTATAATTCAGTAGAATGCATTGTTAAACGATCAATTTTGGCCTGTTCATGCATTAAGATTCAATGAAAGAGAAGGAATCGTTTGCAGTTATCGTTTATCTGGATTTATGAACCCGTTGTCTACACTCCGTTATTATAGTTACTTTATGCTTTAAGGTTCATGGTTTTATATCTGTAATACGGTTAGTGATATTATTAAATCAAATTTCAGTATGTTTTTCTTAAACATAAGAAATGTTTTTTTAGACCATCGTCATCTTTCGACACTCTTTTTTATTTAAATTACACATAATCACCCTACATTATATATTCCTAGATCTACTAGCAAAATAAAGGATAACGTTTCACTCAATGATTAATAGGAGCGATAAAGCTAATAAATTCTGGAATACTAAGAGCTTTCTTCATTTTACTCTTTCCTGTTATTAGAGGAAAAACCTATTTTTCTTATTATCATTTATGCAGTAAAATTTTTAATAATGAATGAAATTTATCTTAATACTATTTATTTCAGTTATTTTTAAAGTGACTGAAATCCATTCTTATATTACCGTTAGTAATAAATACTCAACTTGTCTGATGAAATCAAAGTTATGGTGAAACGTGTGCTACAAAAGTTTGTCAAAACTTTTGCAGTGTTTTCTTAATCTTATTTGAAAATGGACTTCTATATCACGTAAATTTATAAATCAATCAATCTTCTCTAATAATTTCTGTAAAAACAAATAGCGAATATGTTGCTACAATGTCATCTAAAGTAATCCGTAAAATCTGGCAACGTGATCGTATAAATAATATGTACTGATTTAATAGGAAATTTCGCTTAGATATAACTTACACCCCAAAGCCGTAAAGCAAAACGAGACATCTGGGCGAATGTTAATTGATGCGCAGAGAAAATTGAATGCGGAAGCAGCTTGTTGGGTAGCAAGATGAACAAGGCCTAAATTAAACAGAACCTTCCAGTTCAATGGTGATATCCATAACGCCCTTTTTAGACAAGTAACGGCCTGTAAATAACAAAAATACAGAAAATGGTAGCTAATCAAAACATTGTTACTCTTACGACACCGTCTCACAAACAGTTACACGTTTCAGTATGAAAACTGTTTCAGGTAATAAATATCAAACGAAATATGATACTACTTTATTTACTAAAAATTCGATATAACAGGAAATCAATTTTCCGAAAAGTTATTTGTAAAGCAAGAAGAAAAAAAGGGAAACATATTTATTAGACTTGGAGACTAATTAATTTTCAAGAGAAAAACAAGAACGAAACCCTTGTCTATTGTTAATGTTTATGGGATTAATACAATGCAATATACTCAGAGACGTAGTCACCTTTTTTGCATGGTCCAAAAAAATAGAATTTAATTTCCATATAACACAAAAGACGCCATGGGTTCAGATCAAATATTATTGTTGTAACGGATGTGTTTAACCATATGCGAATGAGGATGCGAACTTTAGTGAGATTAAGCTTGCGGATGCGGATGCGGTAATTTGTGCTAGATTTAAGGGTGCGGATGAGGATGAGGGTATGGATGTGAATGCGGATATTTTTTTTTTCTCTGAGGATTGTAAATGATATTTATTCCTTTTATTTTTATACATTTTGAGAACTCAGTCCATTTTCAAATAAATAAAAGATAACTTTCTAACTACATTATTAATTTTAACGAATAAGCAAACATATAATTTGCACTTTTGTAATTTCAACTGTAAAACTTTTAACTTTTAATTTAATATCAACCACTAGCTGAAAACAACTAAACAATGCAGTTATTAGTTATTATTAAATTAATATAATTATTTATACGATTGTTATTATTATCGATAAATGCATCACGACAGTGAAAGACGCTCAGTTATTTTTTATTTTAGGAATGTGTGGATCCGGATAAGAATAGGAATTCTAAGCAATTTAATTTTGCGGATGCGGATGAGGGTGCGGATATTAAAATTCCTGCGGATCATTCGCAGTTGCGGATGTGGATATCCGTTACAACCCTAATTATTTTACGTATGCAGAAAAAGTAAAGGGTGTCTTAAACCGCATATTTTTTTTCCTGCAGACCAGGGTAAAGTAATTAGTAATTCTTTGCATTTATCATTAAATAAAAACTACGTATAAGTATATTTACTGAAATAGAAATGAAACATTAGACAGATGATGCTTACGGCAACGTATTTCTGTTTCGAGTAGAAACATAATCCGACGTTATTCCACAACGCAACGGATTCTGGATTATGTTGCAGAGCGATTTTATATTTGGATAATGCTACGTCGTATTCGCCATGGGCCTAAAAGAATCAAGTGTAATGACATCAACGAAATAACGTTCTTGTCTTTATTTCTAAAAATATCTGTATCTAAATTTCTTCCATTTCTTAAAAATGTTTTATTGCATATTTTAACATTTTGCTTTTATAGCTAACAAAATTATATGAAACTGAAAATACCTACTTAAACATTAAAAAAAAAAAATTACTTTCATCGACACGACTAAAGTAAGGTAAATAGTTTTAGAAATGAAGGCAGTGAATGTATTTTTGTTCGTTCTTAAAAATTAAGTCAAAGATATGCGCTTCACTTTTAAATATTAATTAATTTTCATGGACGAAGAACAGTTTTTAAGAGTAATTTAATGGGGACTGAAAGAAGTGAAGGATCATGTGTAGATCCTTCGATCACTTAGACAAATGCTGAAGCAGTAACAGCATTTGTCTAAGTGATCGAAGGAAACCACAGAAAAACATGGAGTAGGGCAGACGGACCCGGAATCGAACCGGCGTTCTGCAGAATGCTAAGCAATGATCTAAACTCCCAGCTATTCACTACATTAAATATAGGCATAACGTAAAAGATTTGTTCAAGTAGGTCAGTATTGTTACAGGTTTGTAAAATTTGTGACTCGCAATCGTCTGAGACTTCATACAATGAGGGATGTTAAGTATACATAAAAATGTAGGAATGAGTTACAGAGATACAAGAGTGGTACATAGTTTATATTAAGAGCAACAGGCAATTATAGAACTGGAGCAGCAAAGTAGATAAGTAAATATTAGGAAGGGAGACAGATAGGGATGCACACTGTCACCGCTACTTTTTAATCTATACATCGAAGACGCGATCAACATCATTAAAGACAATACAACTGTAGGGATAGATATACTGGGGCAAAAGATTAGTATGCTTAGATTTGCAGATGATATAGCAGTATTAGCATCTAGCAAGGTGGAGTTAGAGATAGCTTTAAATAAAATGGAGGCGGTGTTGATAAAACAGAGTATTGTATGAAACTAAATAAAAGTAAAACATAAATACTAGTTTGCAAGGGAAGAAAAAGTAGGGAAAGAGGGAATATAAAGATAGAAAACGAAAAATTGGCTGATTTTCTGTATCTAGGAAGTCAGATAAGTCAGGACAGAAAGAGTAGTAGGGATATAAAGCAGACGATAGCATAGGGTCGAATCGTCTTAAATAAAAACAAGTCACTTCTAATCACCCGAACGGAAAATTAGGAATTCGAAAAATATTGTTAAAGGTGCATGTTTGGAGCGCGGCGCTGTACGGGTGCAAAACATGAACGATGGGCGCGGCGGAAAAGAAAAGGTTAGAAGCGTTCGAAATGTGGTGTTACAGACAAATGATGACGATACCGTGGAGGACTATATGGAAGTCAATAAGGAATAGGCGAGATAAGTTGGCAGGACACCTTCTCAGCCTAGTAAGGTGAAGGTCTAGTAAGAATCATATTAGAGGCAGAAATAGGAGTTAAGAGGAGTAGAAGTAGACCTAGGTTAGGTAACTTTTCGCAAATAGTTAAGAATGTGGGTTGTTTTATTTTTAGGAAAATGCGAAGATTAACTCAGAATAAGAACGAGTAGAGGTGCGTGTCCAACCAGTCTTAAGACTGACGACTTTTTGATGATGAAGGGATTCACAGAAAGCTATTCCAATGCTTTCTCATTTTTGCCAAGCGTAGGAGGTGGTTAATGTTTACTTTTATAAGCCAGAAACGGAATCCGTAAAGGTAATCAGTAGAAACACAATATTATTTTACGAAAACGTAGTTTCTTATTATATTTAGTAGAAACAATAACTTTGTTTACACCTAGAATTCAAATAATAAACACCTAAAATTGAAATAATAAATTAAAAAATTCAATATTCTGAATGCCAAATTGTAAGGTTTCCTTTTTACATTGTCTAACAGCCTTTTTACAGAACGGGCGTACACCAGAAGCGGTAGTGATGTATGACTTTCGGATTTACTTCTGCACAATTTAAATTATCAAGAAGAAACGGAAATCAATAAATCAGAAATTTTATGAGTATTACTAGGACTCGCCACTGATTTTCACCACAAAAAGATCACAATTACTATTAAGTGTATATCACCATTTTTATGTAGGTACGTATATACAAAAATTTGTCTAATTCCCTACGGAAAATTATTAAAATTACTGTACTTTCTGCTAAAAATTAGAAATTTAATCTAAAGACTCACAGTAACAGTACCTTTACTTTTAAGATACATATTCATATCACAAAGGTATATCCTTTTTATACACAAAACAGCTTAAAAGCTAATCTGTATCTTAATTCGGGCTTGTAGGTTGAAGTATGCGCATATAAAAGAACGGCTATGACATTGATGAATGGCTTTACAGCTTTTGTAGCTGCAATCGCCTAGATTTGGGTTTGCATGTAAATATTAAAATGTGTTTCAAGAAGAATCACAAATTTTTGATACGATATTATGCATTATATGTATCAAATTCTGGTTTTGGTTTTTTAATACATCAATTGACTTGCGCCACTTCGTTTTTTATATGTATAAAGTAAAAATACCCATTTAAGTAAATATAGGGACTTCAAACCTGTCAATATATTCTTCCATTTATTAAAAAATATATTAGGCAAGGTATTATCACCACGTCGAAAAAGTTATCCCAATCACATCATAATCCGCAAGTGCCTCCAAAAATTTTATCATCAATTCGGCGTGCCGCGTTTATCTTTCCATTGATAAGAAAAAGCTGGCTATATAATCTTGAACAAGCTTGAAAACAGGGCAACATAAACAAGCGCGTAAATCTTTAACCAATTGTTTCTGCTCAAAATGATAAGAGAAAATTGCGAACTAGGTTAAACGAATTTCAGAGTTGGTTAACAAAGAACCTTAACGCGGTGTGATTTATTATGGGTATGACTATTAGGTAGAAGAAGGCCGTATATACTAAATGAAGCATTTACTTTTTATGCATAGTCCTTCTTTTAGTTTTGTTGCCTTTTCTAAATTGGTAGGTATGAAAAACTCCTGTTGAAAGGTTTTATTGTCTAGAACAGATAAAGTTTACCGCCTTCCGACAAGTATTACGTAAGTAATTAAAGCTTTGTGGTAATTAAACTCTTTTGGGTGACACTATTGACAGAGTAGAAACTAATCAAGAAACTTTTGCTACTGTTCAACAGCTAATAATAATAATGAAGGTCTTGCGCTCAAAAGCTTAACAATTTTTGTAAATGCTTACTTTGATGAAACCTTATTTAGATAAATAAATACGGTATTGACGTCAACCTTCATAGTAATGTAACTTTTTAGCTTTAAAATTGGAAAAGTTTCTTACTTATTTGCTAAACTTTACATAACTAAACTAATAAACATTAATCTCTATTGCAATTTGGGTTAAGTTTAATTCAGTTAAAGTTATGCTAAAATTTGGTAGCCTATTAAGTAGACTAAAACTAGAAAATTTAAAGTCATACCTAAAATAATGAGGTAGCTTATCGGTTTCCAAAGAATTGATGCCATTATTATAAACATAAGCAATAACTAATAAAATGTTAAAAAATCTTTGAAGCTATTAACAGAATATGTAAATAGAAAACGAATAAATTTTACTCTCCTTTGGTGACAGAAGCTAAGAGAGCGAAGCACAGTTTTTTTTTGTTTTTGAAACTCTTTTAGAAGTAAAGATTTATTTGATTTCATTTTTAGAGAATATCCAGAATAACATGGAACCCATTTCAAAATTCTTTCTGAAATAAATTCACCGTGTGACGGAAGTGGTTTCAATAGCAAAACAAAATGAATGCATTACCGAAAAATATTACATTCTCCTTACGTATCATACGAACTGATCAAATTTAAACTCTCTCAATTTTTTAAAAAAAGCGGTGCATATAAATATGCTAACTTTATACTTTAAAACAAAATTGCTTCTTTTAGGAATTCATTTTCTAAAAGCTTTCTTGGGTGGATTAAGGATAGATCTAAAAGTCGTTAAGTATCGTCAAGGACCTATGGAATTACACTCAACTTTTTCTTCAGTACCTGAAGAATGCAATTTACTAAAGCCTGTTTGTTTCCTGTTTCCTTGAAAAGGAGGATTTGAAATTGTTCACCAACTTTTATTTGTGTGTTTTAGTTCTTCTAATAGTACGCTACTTTACTTTGTTACTTATTTTTCTTTCAAATGTATTTTCTGCTGCATTATAAAAGCATATTGATTACGACGAATTAATTAGTGAACTAATAGTAGAATTTATGTAAATATCAGATTTTATTGGTATATCTAAATTATTTATANGATAACAGATGTGAAGGGATTATAGTTTCAACCTCAAACCCTAAATGGGTATTTCGAAAAATCGAGTACAAAATCAAAATGTCTAATGTACACCGATATAATAGAAGAATGTACCTTATTGATTACGACGAATTAATTAGTGAACTAATAGTAGAATTTATGTAAATATCAGATTTTATTGGTATATCTAAATTATTTATATTAAAATGCAAGCTTACATCAACTTTCCTATTGTATTAGTAGGTTAATTAGCAACTGTTTATATATAATTATGAGCAAATCGAGTCAAGAAGTTCAGGGTGGTGAGACGGGTTACAGTCTTCACTCACCTTGTGACAGTTTTCTGCCATTTCCATGTTCCCAAATTATTTCTAAATTATATAATCTACAATCGATATAACTACTTTAATCTAATAACTACCGACAGTGGATTATATAATTTAGAATCACTGGAGATAATTTGGGAACTTAGAAATGACAGGGAACTATCGCAGGGGGAGTGAAGACGGTAAGCCGTTTCACCACCCTGCATCCTCATGATCTTGAATTCGACTCGCCACTCCGCTATTTAAACAGTTGCTAATTGATCTACCAACACAGTAGGTAAGTAGGTGTTAGCTTGCAGTTTTAAATAAATAATTCAGGTATACCAACTTTGTACCAGTGACTTAAATAAGAATTTATGGAGGCTGTGTAACATAGACCTATATCTATTTTGTTCAATTAACAAAAAATATTGAAGTTCCAAAGAATTTGTTACGGAATCCGAAAATGTCTTTCAATCTGTATGGAAAGAAAATTTTATTTCAAAAAATTCTAAAACAGTTACAGCATGTCAGGTATTAGGAAATCAATTTTGTTGGAACTCGGATAAATCTGAATATATAAAGTTCGGGAAACGAATTGGGAGAGCTGAACAGTTGAGGTAGTATTGTTAGGGAAGAAAGATAAAGTGGGTTGAGAAGGATTGATAGGGTAAGGGTTTGTTCGGAAGGGATTTTACACTATTTCGAACTTGATTTGTCTTGTTAAAAAAAAGTTGAGTACTCAGTTAACTATAAGTATTATCAGACTGCCGCTGCTATTGTGAAAGAATTTTAATTGAAATTCAATGGCTTAAAAGTTGTATCATGCGATCCTGGTTTTCAATATAAAATATCGGGCAATATTATATACAAAAGTTTTATGATTTGGTATTCTTTAGCGAATAAAAAATTAATTATTAACTACAAAAGATAGTTCGTCTATTATTATTTATGCTGCCTAAAGTGACTTAAAGAATTACAAAAGGACCAGATAGTGCTTTGTTCCTTAATTTTGTCTTCGAGGTTTCACAAACTTAAATTGAATATTTTCTTGGCTATTGTCCTTTATTTCATGATTAACAAAACTTTATCTTAATGAGAGGATTACTAACACCTCTTTTCTTATATAGTTTGAAAGCACATAGCCATTGGTGTTCACTACAAATTTCACAAAATACGGCATTAATTTGAGGTAGCGTGTAGTGGGTATAAAATTCAAAAATGAATTTTCAGAATAATATTTCATATTAAACTAACTCACTTCGAAAAGATATCTAAATTGTATGTATGTTTAATCATAATATATTCAGTATATATAGTCACATTAGTACGACGGATCGTTAACCTTGTAGGTCGGTTGGTCGTGGTTGCTGTTGTCACCTCTCGTAGTTTTAGAAAATACTACAAATGGCGCAGTAAACGCCATCTGTAGCACGATGCTATATTTTAGGATTACGTATGCTCCAACAAGGTCCACTTGTGTGGATATCTACTTGTTGAAAACGAATCCCGGCGTAGCCAACCTCAACGTGATAGGCACGTTAGCTTAAACGAATAAAATAATTCGAAGTGCGTGCCGCAGGCAGCTCCGACGGAACACAGACCAACTTTTACCTGCTGTCTTAACAGTGCGTTTTAGAAAATACTACTTGTGTGGACCTTGTTGGAGCATACGCAATCCTAAAATGTAGCATCGTGCTACATATGGCGTTTACTGCGCCATTTGTAGTATTTTCTAAAACGCAGTTGGTCGGAGCTGTCTGCGACGCGTTGATGAGATCCAAAAAGATCGAAATCGCGATCCGCGCCTGGCAGTTCCGACAGAATACAGACCACTTCGAATTATTTTATTCTCGTAGTTTAGTGGTCAGAACATTGGTGCGTAAAGCCAAAGGTCCCGGGTTCGGTTCCCGGCGGGGGTATGACAACAGCAACAATTTTTCCCTCATTAATTTGAGGTACCTAGCGTGTAGTGGGTATAAAATTCAAAAATGAATTTTCAGAATAATATTTCATATACGTCTGTTTGCCATCATTTCGTAGTCCTAAGACTGGTTGTACACGCACCTCTACTCTTTCCTATCCTGAGCGGATCTTCGCATTTCCCTAAAACTAGAACATCCCACATCCTTAATTATTTGTCTAATTGTAATGATTTTTAATTACCCAAAAAAAAGGAATTACCTAAATTACATTCATACACTAGTAGTATATATTTCTAGAGCAAACCTGCGTTATACACCCAACTCCTAAAAGTGCTTTAGTGCATTCAGGTTCAACTTCTAAGGCGGTAGTAAATTTTTCAAAAGCCATTTGCGTTTCTCGCTGTCGAAGATAAAACATACCCAACTGTGTCATCATTTCGATATTATCGGGGCATGATCTGAACAGAAAATGGCAGCGTTGGTTAAGTGAAGTAATAACACTACCTACCCCTAAATCCGTTTATTTCAGCTTATCAAGCAGTTTAAATCTGAATGGAAAAATCAAAGTTATATACAGGGGTGTTTACCAAAAATAGTTCACAATGGAGTTCCCCAAAAAAGTAGTTCGAGTATGTACAAGCACTTTACTATTTCAGTTGGTCTACCTAATTCGGGTGTCATCACTATTTTTAATATCCTGTTAGAAAATGCCCGAACTGAACAAAAATCTCAGGAAGAATTGGATGCTGACCGGCGCCTTCACCATATCATGCAAAAAACTTTTTCATACAAATTTTACATACTTGTTTAAGTTGGTAGGCCCACAATGCCACGTTAAAAGTGTTTTTCAGGCAACGATTTGTCATATAAAAAAGTGTTTTTGATATTAATTTAGAAATGTAGTTGATTTAACGTCAAGAATAAGCGAATTTTGTTCATATTTCTACCTTACTATTAAGTTGGGAAAGGAAGGAAATTACCACAGTAAAGACGGCAAAGCGCCTCACCACCCTGTCTTACTCGGTTCTCGTGATTATTATTGATTCGGTTATTTAAACGAACACCTACTAAGCCCAGTAAGTAGTAGGTGTTAAATTGAGACTTTAAAAGTAAATAATTTAGTTGTAGGTACCAGTGACCTAAACTGCAATTTATCGATACTATGAAACTACACCAGAAGGCTTGCTAAGGTTAGATTAATCGAATTCTCTGTAGAATTTCAGATTTATTAGTATTTTTCTTTTACTTTCTAAATACTAATTTCTGAAAAATTCTGCAGTGGGACAACTGAAACGGAAAAGAGCTCACATACATTTTATGTTGCACTGTAATATCTACCTTATAAGGTCGCTATTCAAAAGCATAGCTAAGGTAATACAATTTTATGTAATTTTTTTTAATTTTGAATCTTTGTGCTCTTCATTTGTTTTTAAGGATTTTCTTCTGTACTTACACTTTATTTAGATGTTTAATTTTTAAATAAGTCCTTTTATAATTTGCTTATTTTGTGTTCCTTTATTATGTAATATTCTTTGTTTGTTCTTAGTATCATAATTACATAAAATCAAATTTGAGAGAAAATTTGTAGAAATTTAATTCGTTGTTGAGAGTTATACCCAGATACTAATATTGACTTATCGTAAATAATATTAGAAAGATAATATTTGCTTAAATAAATGTTTTTAGCTGGTTGTTGCTTTAAATAGATATAAGTAAGTTCAATTAACTTTGGGACGAAAGTTTCCTCTGGCGCTGTGCTTCTAATTTTAGTACGTTATAGAAAAAACTTATTGAGTTTCCAAGAGTTCAAGTACTTCTATTCACATCTACCTTACCCTATTGCTGCTATACACACAGCAATTGCAGACCGAACATCACCTTCTAGATCAAATATTTTCGTAAGCAATGAATACGATTCTTCCTGTTTACCATATTGAATTGCTTTTCTAGCATATTCCTTTGCACTATTGGCGTCTCTCAGGTGCATGTAACATTCAGCTGGAATCAGGAAGGATTACTTTTAGAAAGGGATTCATCTTTGTGTAGGTATAGATAACCAAAAGAAGCGACTTCAAAATGACTCTAAACAGTAATTGGTTTTTACTGAACAGCCAAGTAAATATAAATTTGGAATTAAAAGAGCTTTTTTTGAAGGAAATAAGGAAGTGCGACTTAAAAATAAATTTTTGTTATGTGTTAACGTATGCCTGAGGAGGTAATCGATACGGCTCAGCGGCACGTGGGATAAAAAATCTTGTGAGTGGCTTTCCGGAAATATCAGGAATAATTTGGTATAATTGTATAATTATGTAACAGGTATCCGCCGAAAAACAGTCGATCACGGACAGGTGATATACATAGGGTGGAAACGAGAAGTCCAAGTGGTGATAGAATTAACTAATATGAAAAGATGCATGGTGATATAAGTAAGCAACTGTTGAAATAAATGAATACGGTGAGGTCATAGTTGATTAATAATCATAAATCACATGACCCTATTTATCCAATTTTTGAACTCCTCCCTTTTTCCAATTTGATAAACTCCATGCATTAGGTTTTTTATTTGATGCCTGATTTTTATATGCATATACGTATGTAGATACTATGTACGTGTCTATACCTATACTATTATATATTTCCCAGTCTGGTTCCTCAGAAACACGTGCTGCTTCTAGATAGGCTTCCAAGGAAAGCCGAAATCTGGACAGTTTAAACCTGTAACGAAAATGTTTTAAAATGTTTAAGGATATACAAACGTTGTGCATTAGAGTACAGTTAAATTTCACTACGGGATTAGTTAAATCTGAATCAGTGAGTAATACGAATTATTGGGTAAAAATGGGCAAAATCACAGAGACTGTTACATAATATTATAGCAGAAATTGTCGACGTATCGACCCAAACGTATTCAGCGGGATGATACTTTACAACAATCCGGGAAATTCCCGAAATATAGGAAGAAGTGCGCTACACGCTGCGCAACATATAATCTAGGCTTTGGAACTGTTAATTGATCTGAATTACGACATACATAATTTGAAAATGTGATATTTCATTTACGTTTGGATTACTGGAAAATCTGAATTTCAGGAATTCGGATTGTTGGAGTTCTCCGTTAGTTTTGTATTTCGTTCGCGACAATTGTTCAAAATATGTTTGTACCTTTTCAGGTTCAGCTAGAATTGTAGCAGATAACCATTGTTTTGCTAAGAAGAATACGTACTTATATATCACTCTAACTGAAGAAAATAAAATCAAATCAAAATTTAATTTATTAGGAAATTATAAAAAATGAATTTGTCTAACCTATATAATATAAACAATCGTAGTTCTAAGTTAATACTAGATATTCAACAGGAAGTCTAAGTTTTTGTTTTCTAAAATAGGGAAATATTTTGCTTACAGATGTAATGTTTGCCTATTTAACTTCAATTTATTTTCTGTTACTTGTTTGGAATAAATCTATTATAACTTTCTTCCGAAATATCGCAAGAGATGTAACGGGTAGCTACGCAGCTTATGGAGGCGGATTATAAATGACACATTAAAGCAAAAATTTTGTTTAGGCTTCCTTTCATATTTTAATCTGCGTACATACCGTACGCGAAAGAATGGACCTTGGTATAGAAAAACTCGAGTAATTGTAAGTGAATTGCCGCCTCGTAGTCTTACTAGTCTTGATAAGAGCGGTAATATTAAGATCAGAATCTTCGCCTACCGCATACTTTGCCCGCAGTCCCACCATCTGCTTTTTTAATGGCTTTGATAGTCGGTAGTATTGAATAATTACGCTGTTTTCATAATTTTTATTTTAAAGAAAATATTTAATCCAATTCTTCATAAAATTATTTTATCCTCGAAAGCAAACCTAATTAACGAGTTAATAAAAGAACGTTTATATTTATCGCAATATTCTTTGATTTTGTATTTTTTAATAAGTAATTAAGTTTTAGAAAATACTACAAATGGCGCAGTAAACGCCATCTGTAGCACGATGCTACATTTTAGGATTACGTATGCTCCAACAAGGTCCACTTGTGTGGATATCTACTTGCTGAAAACGAATCCCGGC